CGGTAAGGCCGGGGAGCGCAGCGCAGCCCAGATAAAATGGAGATTTCCTTCTCTCGCTGCGTTTAGGAATGCAACTCCGATCCCGGGAGGTGGGTGAGGGGAAGGCGAGAGCCTGATGTGTGCCGCTTTTATTTTGCCTCAGCTAGGGAGAGGAAAATGCGATATTGTGGGAGAGGGAGGAGGAGAGGCCGCAGGAACAGGCTGGCTGCAGCCGGGCTGTAGCAGCGACAACAAACAGGTGTGGCCGGGAGAGTTCCCGATAAGTGCTGCACGCCGTGCTGCCCTCGCAGGTTATAGCTGCCTGCTCTTCTGCCTGTCGTGGGGGGGAAGAGGAGCGGTGTACGCCAAAACCTTACCCTGGGAATTGCAGCCTGTGTTTCCTGTCTTGGGGTAGCAGTGTGGTTTGGTTTCTGGACCAGCTCAGGCAGGCAGGCAGGGAGGGAGGGAGGGAGGAAGGTTTGTGGGCTCCCAACTTAGATTAGTGTGGAAGTGGGATGAGCAATAGGGAGGCTGTTCTCCTCCCAGCACCAGTGTAACTGCTCCTGGGAGTGTACCGTGAAAGGTTATAGGAGCCAGGTTATGTCACCTTACTGATGTGCTGGTCCAGGTCGCTGATGATGGGGAAGCTCAAGCTGTGATTGGTGCAGGGTGCTGGCGATGAGGAAATGTTCTGGAAAAAATGTCTTTTTTTTTTTTTTTTTCTTCCCACCATATTTCATCATTTCATTGATTGAATTCAGCTGCATGCTTCATTTTTTAAACAATCCTTTCTTCAGCCCTGTAGTCTTACTTTGCTGTGGGAATGTTTCCAGGGCTGCAGCGCTCCTACACATGGCACAGGGGCAGAACATCCTGGCACACGCTTCAAAACTGCTTTGCCATGAGAAATTTAAGGCATGAACACAAAAAGCAAAAGGAAACGCTGATTCCCATGGCACAGGGAAGTTTGGGAACTGCACCTATGCACTGGTGTACTTCCACACTTCATTAATAGCTCACTGTGTGTCATGGTTTTTTTGTGTTTAGGATGTGTAAAGATTAAGTGCAAAGCGCCAAAATGAGCGTGACTTCGTGGTTCTTGGTGAGCAGCACTGGCATTCGCCATCGGCTCCCTCGGGAAATGATATTCGTTGGCAGAGATGACTGTGAACTGATGCTCCAGGTAACGTGGCTTTTTTTTGGTTATTTCTTGTGAAGATGCAGTAGATGTGAATGTAACACTGGTGATCTGTAGAGATGTTGCGTGCTTCCTTCAAATGACATCTTTTAAAAGGAACTTCCTTTTTTATGTTGAGTCTGTGGTTCCCATGAAGTTTTCATATGTTTGTGAAAGTGCAAGTGAGGTTTCTTTCAAATTGCCATGTCATCAGATGGATCGGAGCTGTAGTGGTGGGAGATTAATCAAATAGATTAACTGTCTTGATGCTACTAGAAGCAGTAAGCAAAGACATACCATATTATCCTGATCTGCAATTATGCTGCTGTTTTTTGTAGCCTTTAATACGTGCACTGTTTACTAGCATGTGAGATTTGAATGGGGGCAGGGTTTTTTGTTTGTCTATTTTTCCCTTTAAGTTTGATTAAATTGTCAGTGTTTGTGTATCTCAGGGTTTGTTTTTTTTTATCATGGTACAAAATACTGATGTTTAGCAGAGAAACTGTAGCTGTTCTGGTGGGGTAAGGTGGTGACCTCTTCCCAAAATAATTGTGGTATTCGGGCAAACTTGCAGTTTCTGTTAGCGCTTCCCATACCAGTGTGTGTCTCTGCTGGACCTAATCCAATGTGTCTGAAGTGTTGACTGTGGTCTGATGTTTGACAGCATAATGTATTGGGTGTCACTCCAAACAAACGGAGCTGGAATCTCACAAAGAGCTTTTGACAGGAGCAGTTTACCTCAGGAATTTGTAGAAGTTTAGAATTAAATTAGTGTTTCTGCTAGACCCATGCCATGAATACCTAAATGCAAAAAAAATTTTGATTGCACCTGCCTGCCCCTCTTTTACCCCCTTACAAAGATGTCAAAATTAGGAAGCTGCACAATAGGAATTCACTCCCCATAATTTCCACTGCTAACCTGGGCACAGGTATGTCCTAAATGCTTTGCTGATGTTCTACCAGTCAGGCTGTGTTTGTAGTTGCTGCAGTGATTTTGTATGATATGTTAGTAGTGAGGTCTGTTTAAGAGGGTAGAAGTTTTTGTACAAGGTGTACTTGGAAGGCAAGGTGTTTTCTGCCTGTAATAAAATGTTAGTGTCCACAAAAGGAGAGCTTGCAGTGTTTGTACTGTTCTGCTAGTTGGCAGTGAATGGCATGGCTGTGCTGCAGTGGTAGAGTCTGAAGCATACTCCTGTTCAACAACAGATAGTTGCTGTTGGGTTTTCCCATGAATCACGCTATTTTTTAATTTCATGTTTCATGTTTGTGCGTGTCTGATTGATGAGACATTAAAAGTATCCTGATATTTTCTGTAAATCTGCATTTGACTGCTCAAAAGCCCGATGACTGTGTTCTCTTGTTACTTGAAGGGAGAAAACATACACAGTGGCCTTGGTTTCCAAAACCAGCCTGAGTTTTAGGGTGCCCATCTTAAAAAAAACCTCAAGTACCTTCAAAAGGTATTATTGTCAGGGTTCAGCACTCTGAGAATCGCACGTTTCAAGTTGTGCCCCCCAAAATAAAAGTAGCCAAATATCAGTCATGCTTAAAATGCATTGCTTGTTTCTCTGGTTATCTATGGGGTTAACTGGACAGCATGGATCGTGAGCTGCTCCATACCACACGGAGTATTTTATGCTTCTTTGCAAGTCTGAGCTGGCTTGTCAGTGTTGCATGTGGACTGACAACCTTGTGACGCTCTACATTTGCTGTGCTCTTTTCTCCAAGGTAAATGAATTGGGATTACTGGATGAGCCAGCAGTACACGTGACAGTGAAGCGGTTGTATCTGGGGACTCATAGGTGGTGATGGTGGTAGTAAAGGAGGTTTTGATTATTTCGCCAGAATGAAGGCTCTGGATTGTTTATAAAAGCCAGCTGCTTATGTTCCTAGGGTGAATTACATGTGACTCTTTCTAAGCGTATTAGTTTACTGTCTCTAGTAATAAAGCTTTTTTAGGATCACATGTAAGGTCTTATTTTGAACTGCACATTATTTTCCTAGCCATTTGCTTATAAAGATATTTTCCAGAGCTACCATGGGCTCCAAATGAGATGATTGTAGTAAGACTCAGTGGGGAAGGGCTGTGAACAGAGACTTGATATCCAAGCAAAGTTGTGTGTGAGCAGATGGAGGATGAGATCTAAAAATAGGCTTTTTTTCTACTGTGACTGTCCATGTCACAAAATTGTTGTGCAGACTGGCACAATCATTTGTCTTGGGGAAAGCTTAAGAAGCAGGGCAGTTATTAGAGCAGATGGACAGAGCTCTTGTGACAGTGTTCGCACCTGTAGTATTTCTGTGGTACTGACCCTGAAACTGTATATTCACTGCACAGTTATTTTGCTTATGTATTTCAAGAGACTGGCATTTAATACCTTAAAGTGCACAACTGGGAACAGACTGGCAGTGTCTGGGGAATGGACTGGATGACCTGGTTGGTGTTTTTTTGTCTCTTAAGACCTTTACTGCTTAGCGATTTCATCGTGATAGGGTTTGTGGTTCCCTGTTGAGACCATGCGTATTAGTGCACACACATACGACACAGAGATAACCTCTGTCCTGGAGACCTTGCAGTCTGGCCTTTCTCATTTTACTGTTTTACGAGTGTCTTGTCTTTTGATATTTTCTTGGAACATGTTGTCCTCAAGGTTTCAGATCCCTAAACAGCAAAAAATGATGGCTTTGTCACCAAACAATCAAGCTTTAGTTTCGCCTGTGTTTACCTGTTTCATACAGGCACTAGATTTGCTTTCTGGTTAACAAAGAGGTGAAGAAACCCAGAGTCTTTAAGCTTAAAATTAAGTAGGTTTGATAGAGAGGAAACATAATCTACCTTGAAATCTTCTATACCTACTAAGAGGATTAGAAATATTTTAAGTGTTTTTGCAGCACTGTAAAGCCTCTAGTACAAGTAAATGTGAGATTTACATTGGGTTTGAATGTTAATGCATGGGCGAAAATGCCATGTAGCATAGCTTGGCATGCACAGTGTTGTTATGCTGAGTCAAGGGCTCAGTTCTGCCCTTTTTCTGAAGAACAGTACTTGATTTCTTCAGCAGTCTCACTGACTCACTTCAGGTAACAGTCAACAAACAGCAGGAGAATGGAAATGTAGACCTTTGCTAACTTGCCCTAGTACGTGCAGGTTTTTTTTTCTGTGAAGCTTGGTGGTGATAGGAAGTGATTCTCTGAAAAGGTTGGGTTTTTTTTTTTAACAAAAAATAAGAGGATTTTTGGACCATCTTGAACAAAGTAATTCTCTCCCCCAAAACGTTCCCAACTTCTTGGGAAATATAATTGCAATTTTTATGAGCTTTGATAATTTACTCGGTGTGATAGGTATTTACTCAGGGGACAAACATTTTGCAAACTCAGAATTTTCACTTAACCATTAAAACCTTCCCCTCTGCCCCTAAACAAAGCATCTTTTGCATTTTTGCTAAATGTAAATATTTAACAGAAGGGAAGCAGGGTCATGATTTCCCTGTTTTTTTGTTTTAGAAATGTTTATTGGAAAAATTGGGAAAGCAAAATATTTAATCAGTGCTCCCTTCAGAATTTCCCTCTCTTCAGAGTGATGATTTGGGCATACTATTGTCATATGCCATGTGAGTTTGTACGTGTGAGTTACAGCAGGAGTAGGTGCAGGTGACCTGATGCTTTCTGTTTTATGCCTTTGTCCTGTGTGCCTTTTAAGACAGCTTGACACTTCCTATCATGAGACATTGTTTTCGATTGCTTATAACTCTGGTAAACTTCGTAACTGTTTGGGATGAGAGTTTATGTTCCAGGTGTCTGTTTTAGGCACCGTGTTCTGGATGAGATCAGCTCCCTTCTTTGATCTTCACTGTGAGGAACTCTGAGAAAAATGTTGTTTTCTTCATATAAAGTATTTAAAAGTATGTTTAACCTTTCTTTGAGGTTCTGGTATTGTAGAGTTGGGAGGTGACGCTTTTTGAGCATGCATACCTATGTCAGAGGTGATTTACTCCCTCCTCCATCAATAATCTAAATGTATTTGATCAAGTTCCAAACCTCTGGAAAAAATTTGGAGTTTGCATGTGGTCAGCAGGGACTTGTTTGATAGTATTGTCTTAAGTCATGTTTCGTCTGGGAGTGAGGTTGGTGAGGGGATGGATTGGAGGACAGAACTGTCACAGGTTGGGCAAAGAGGATCTAGGTGCAGGCATGTACAAGGCTGTGCTAGATTAGATCAAGGTGCATCTAGCCTGGTATCCTGACTCAAACACTGGTCAAAACAGCTGTCGAGGAAAGTGCAAGGATAAGCCAAGAGTATAATGATACTTCCAGAGTACTTGCTCAACCTCTTGACCTGTGTTTCAGGAAGCCAGGGGCCAGATCTTTGCATTTAATCATTGGATTTCTGCTCTATAAAGCCTCACCAGGAGATTAAGATTTGGCTGAGCAGGGAGGCACAGCAAGGAGTCTGTCATGTGTGCGGAGTGAGAGGAGGAGCAGCAGGACTTGGAAAAGCAGAGGATGGTGCATCTGAGGCAGAAACTGTTCAGTGTGGGGAAAGCGGGCATTACAGGAGGTGACTGCTGAGCGGCATCTCCCTTAGGCCTGAGATGGGCTTAAGACTTGCTTTTATTCTGGTGTCAGCAGCTAGCTGTGAAAGCTACTAGCCAAGCATCTGTCACTAGTCCATATGGGACGTTGCATGCTGCTTATGGTATCAGTTAGTCAGTTTTGGTGGTAGGGGCTTGTGAGCTGAACAAACAAGTTTGTTCTGCTGGTGAATCGGATAAATGGTAACTTGGTACTGCTTGAATAGAAATTTTCCTCTTTTTAGCTTGCTTTGGTGAAAAGCCAGGGAGTTACAAGCATTCTAGGCACTGAAGGAACATTCTTATGGCTACTAAGTCAAGTGTTTATAACTACAGAGCAGTTACAACATACCAGTGTGAAGATTGCCTGTGTAATCCTGCTTCTGCCCCTGTGTACATAGGCATGAAGATGCAATCTGTTATTGTGTTGTTACC